GAAGTCCCCCCTTTTACTTCAAGCTTATAAAGCTATTCAACAAGAACAATTTGTTATTCCCTAATTTGGATGCATACAAGGACTCTATCTTCTCCCACAAAGTTTTTACATGTGTCTCATTAGCAATATGATTATAAACATTATCTTCTACATATTATCGAATAAAACCACATATTTATTGATGTTCAACTCTCATTCTTCATCAGACACAGAATCCGACTTTGCAGAACTAAAAATCGATAAATGTAATTTCTTCACAAATAGTAAGTCTTTCATTTTGTCCTTCCACAAATGGTAAGTAGAACCATTTAACAATACCATCTTCATCTTTGTATTTGACTCCATCATACGAACAAGTAAAATAGCCCTTAATCAAGAGCTATGATGCCACACTGATGGGAAATTAAGATAAAATAACAGAATAATACGCAGCAGATATAATATTTCACAAACTTGTAGGAACCTTGAGGATCAATAACAAATATAAGACGGTATCAGAACAATAAAGGCACAAAAGAACACATATATTTTTAATGTGGAAAACCCCTCAATATGAGAGTAAGAACCACGAGTCGTTCAGACCAAAGAAAATAACTCCACTATAATCAATTGAGGTTACAAGAGAGTCTGAAAGTGATTCACAAAATAATGATAACAACCACAAATCACAAATAAAACTAACTTACAAATAAGAATAAAAAACCTGATAATTTTCCCAAATCAGCAGCTTCAATGTGTCGATATCTCTCAACTCAGACCTTGTTTTGAAGATCCCAACAATCAAAAGTTAGATATAGATGTTGCGAAACTATCCTCCAAATTTGAGCTCAATCTGATGGCTAACGAATCGGGGATCATCAATTTAGTGATACTGGTGCAGAAAAAACGAGAATGAATTTCTCTCATCTTTTCTCTATTTTTGAATCCTTATTTTCTCTCTATATCTCTTAACTCTAAATTAACATTCTCCACTTAAATTAGTGAAACAAATAGGCTATTCATATTTTTTATCATTTTTCCAAATAAGAAGGAAACTCAAATTCAACCGTATAGACTTTAAATAAGCTAGTGTATTGTTGAAAATATAGAAAATATTTTTCTAAATAATTTAGAAATTGATGAATTGATATAAGCAATAAAAATACTCGACCTCAATTATCAACAACGTCATATATAATGATAAGAACAACACAAACTATCACAAACTATAACGTGCGATGTATCTTAGACCTGACACAACTCGAATCATTCTGCACCAATGTTTGTTCGCTTGTGTTGTTTATGTTTAATAAAAGCATTACTCTTAATAAAATCACAAAATGATTGAGAAGTAAACAAGCCAATAATGAGCATAGTTGTGGGCTTTGGAGGGGCCAGTTATATTTGCTGGTAAACGTTGTTCAATGGATCTTGTTTCAATAATACATATAGACATCTGACAATTTTTTGTTATTAAAGCCAAAAGATTTATCTAGTAGTACTAGGCAAAGATTACAAAAATAGCTTTTTATTAAGTTATTTATTTGTACCCCTAATATCATTTTAGACTAAGAGAATGTATCTAGAATTTGAGGAGTAAGTGAGGCTGGAATTCGAAATATTTAGAATTCGTCCATAATATCAAAAGTCTGCCATAAACATTGTGAGCTTGTCCAAAACTATCAAGAACTCGTACTTGATTAAAAATCTACCTATTATAGTGAGTCAAATAAACTCGTTTTATGGATCAGGTCGGTCTTTGGGGCCCAAAACCAGTGCAAGAGGAATATGCAACAAATAGACGTTAGCTGGACACGATCAAAGACAACTACGCCCGAAAAACCATGGCAAGATCGTCCAAGAAGGATCAAATGTTAACACAGGTCAGATAATCGTTAATATGTCTCAAGAAAGAACTTCACTCCTACACGACTCATGCTTAAGAGGTTGTGTACATGTTCGTATTCTTGGTAGGCCTTAGAAAAGCATGTCGTCGTTACAGAACTCATGTTTAAGGGATTATATACAAGTTCAATTTCTTTGAATGGATTTGAAAAGTATGTCATCCTTACATTGCTTATACATGAGAGGATTATGTACTAGTCTGATTTCTCGAGTTAGGTCTTGAAGCGAGCAAGAGTCAACCCGGACCCAATGGAGTTTGCCTCAATTAAGGACCTGCCAAGAAGGGCAAGGCCTGGTTGAAATAACTTAGTGCATGTCTATAGTGATATAATTTAAAGACACCTTGGGGGCGAGGCGAGGGCAAGTCTCTTGACCTTTCGACCTTCTCGAATAGCCTTTATACTAGTTCGAGTGTCCCTTGTCATGATGTGTCACGTGAGTCTCCAGTTTTTCTGTTCACAATGCGTGATCGTTCGTAAAGCATTTACTGGATCAACTAACGTTTCATAGGAAGTCATGAGAATTAACCACATCTCCTTGATTTTAGAGAATAAACCACTCATACTTAAGTATGGGTACTACATAATACGAGACTCTGTTTAGATCCCTGGTCTATAAATACATCGTTATCACCACTCTGAGGGGGATAACCAATGACACTAAAAAATGCACCTTCACAATAGCTTATCACCTCGCGTGAACTAGCTCTTAATACTCCTAACAACGTTAAAGCCTCTAACAACCCTTATCCATTATGGGTTGTCATGCATATTATACTTTTGTCCATTATAATTGCCGCCCACCGTAGGATCCCAGTAAACTAACATGGGCCACTCTCACATCATTTAATCGGAGTATTATCTTCTCGCTTTTCCCACATCACGGTGAACAAGAAGACAACCATTCCGGCTAGCGAAGATTCTGACAACGAGGAAAGCGTCATAGCAAAGATGCACACTGCTGTGGACAACCTTTGTCGCCATAACTAAACCTTAGAAGATAATGTAAGAACAAGATTTAGTTTTGCATCTGTCGTTGAGTTCTGATGATAACATTATATTGGTAATTAGATAACAATTTAGTACCCTAATGATTTGTTTAGTCTGTAGATTTTTCTAACAGGTTCTGACTCTAAAGATTTGACATGTGACGTCATCATATTATGGGCTCTACACACCAAGGTTTTGCAGAACAAGTTCTGAAGACTCTGAAGATCAACGGTTCTGATGAACGAGTTCTGAAATTTTGAAGATACGAATCTAAAGATCAACATGCTGAAGACTCTGAAGACAAGGTTTTTTTGAACAAGTTAAAGGAGGAGATTGATGTTTCTTTTGGATTAATTGCATTATGCAAAATAACACGGAGTATGTTTAAGCTGCTTCTAGTGCAGAAGGGACACATGTAGAACAGGTGTTCCAACACATGTGTTGCAATATCTGGTCTCTAACAACAGACAAATGTTATTGTAGTATTGGTTCAGACTTATTCTATCTATTATTAACTCTACAAATGTTGGAACACGATGTTCTAACATGTGTACAATGCAACATCTGACCCTTGCCAGCAGATCATGATAGATGTTGCTAGGTGCAAATTTTTTGATTGAGATTTAATCAGAGTTATTGCAAATTGTTTTTCTATGTTTGTGTGGTTTGTTTCACAGCTGTTGAAAATCAAATCAGATTTAAATATGAACTTTAAATATAACAACTCATATATTTTGTTGTAGATTTTTATGAAGCAAATAAAATCCAACATATTCAACTATTATTCTGGACGAAATTAAATCAGAAATCCAAAGGAGAAGTGCCAAAAATTGCATTTATTTAAGGAGACTCAGACCTCACGTTTGAGGTGTACATGTTTTAAAGATTTCTTGTGTTAGGGTTTATCTTTTGAGTTTTTATTTGTGTTACTTTTGTGCACCATTCTAGCGCCTTCTTTCATATCTTAAGGCATTGAGTTTGACTTAGTTAGGTTGTAAAGCTTTATTCCATGACACTAATTTTATAAACTTGATAACAAAGTGTGTGTTGTACACCACATTATTGTTCCAGTAATTTGACATAGTTGTTGGTTTGTCTTAGTTGAGTTGTAAATTCAACAAGCATTGTGTTAATGATTAGGTTTATCAAATGAGATTAGTGATTGAGAGAAAGTGAGAGAGTTTCTCATATTTAGGGAGATTCTTAAATAGAAAGTCACTAGGATTAGGAAGAGGCATTGAGATATATGGGATTGGTGTTACTATAAGACTAATTGAACTAATTCATAATAGTGAATTTCCTTTCTTGTGTAGAGTACCCTCTAGACGTAAGTGTGGTTTCACCGAACTAAATTATCAATCTCTTATATTATTTTATTAATTTTTATATTGTATTATTCTTGTTATTTTGCTGTCATATTGATTTAACAAGTTTGATCCGTTGTTTCAACATCGTATCCAACATCTATCCTTTCAGAGATAGAATTTTAATTTTGATCTTCATTATTTTTTTGATTTAGCTATCTCTTGAACTACGTCGTTGGACTATTCAGTATGATTTAAATAATATTTTATTTACATAAGAAATTTTGATTTCCTTATGATTAAATTCGTGACAGGATTGATTTGTTGCTATTAACATAGCTACTAATTAAGGGGTATGTTTTGTTCTAAGCATTGTGTAATCCTTGATAAGTTTTTTTTCTTTTTTGTTTATAATGATTCTTCTTGTATTTTGAGTTGAGGTGAGGACCCCTTATCCTTCCTTTAAATACTTTCTCTTGCTCATAAAAAAAATTGACAAAAAATTTATTACTAATAAAATTAAAAAGCATTCACCTCAAAGTCCAAGTTATGAATTCGTTACTGTATATTAGACACAGAAAAGGACATTTTCCTTACTACGTAATACAATATTTCTTGTGTTCCTAGAATCTTCATATTGCACCAACGTCAATGTCACAGATCAGTAAAATAGACATGAGAAAACATTCGTAACCACAAGTCATAATTCCAATATATCATAATTTTAATTTCATTTCTAAAATTAAATCTTACACATGAGAACAATTTAAAATCACCACCACCAACAGCATCAACAACCGGTTGAAAATAGAATGATTTTAAATTACTTTTTCCCCAAAACCGTTGCTCGTAGGTCAGCAACATCAACCACGTTGGTGTTCTCCGGTTTGTAGTAACCAGTGACAGGGTCTGGAACCCACGACACCTTTTCTTTATTTGCCACCTTGTCTGTCCCTGATTTCTGTGCTACCATCTTGCCGCTCACGGAGGTTGCTACTCCTCTCGTCGCGTTTTGTGTTGCTGCCGCCGCCGCGTATCCTCGTCTGTATTATCATCATAAAACAAACACAAAAAGTTATTATATTGTAATAGATGATGATATCTTAATTCAGAGCTTACATGATAACTGTACCAAGATATCAAATATAAATATTTTAAATAAAAAATAAAATTGTAATATACCTAGAAAGAGAATTGAAGAAACCATCAGCAACAAGAGAAGAGATAGCTTTGATGTTAATGAAGCAACGAGCCATTGATGAGAATTGAGAACAATTTGTGGGAGTAATATTTAATAGAAGTGATTTTGTTTGTTGTAATGTGTTGCGGTGTGCCAGAAACAAAGTGGTGGAGTTAGTTATATAGGCCAAGGAAACATAAAATTCTATGCAAATTTTAAGGAAATGATATTTTTAACATCTAATTTTCGGTGTGAAAAAAGTATTAAATTTAATTTTAGATGTAGTAATATTATTCAAATACAAAATAAAATTTTAGGTGTCAAAATATATAAAATAAAGTAAAAAAGAGAGATATCGAGACATAAATATAGAGTTGATCTACGCACCATTATAAAATATTAGGTGTTAAATTCGAATCTACTAACTCTATAGGACTACAACCTCTACTTTTCTGACACCTATTGGTTGATTCCTAGAGCCGTTTTATATTTGCCTTTCTTTAATTCAACTACTTTATTATTTTTGGTTAAAGAAAGAATAATTAATAACATATATTCAATATTCATGCATTTGTCCATTATTTCTAACTTCTAAGTACCACTAGTTTGGCAATTATTTGGGGCCATAGCCTTCTTTAGCCGAACAAGTCATTCTATTTTATTTTTAAGTAACACGACCGGTCATGCTGGAGGTCGGCAAGTAGAGCTAACATATAAATACAGATGGATGAGTAGAAAAAAAAAAAACACTAGAGAGAGAACAAAAAGTATTCTACTAAAAAGAGTTAAAGCATAGTATTTGGAATATTTTTAAATTTTAACTTGAAAACTTTTTACAAAGAAATTACTCCAACTTGTTTCTTTGACTTCGGAGACATTTAGTAATCTTGATAGTGTTGTAGGTGCCAAATTATTAAAGTTGAATAAACAACTTGATTGTAATTTTAAGATGAGTGATAAAAAGAAGTTGACAAATTGGTGGAGTTAGTTGGTTTATTTAATATTCAAGGGTTAGGAAGTCGGAGTAAGAAGGGCAAGGTTAAGTTTGGGGATTCTTAGTGCATTTATTTTTCTAATTTTATTGTTGAGACAAAATTATTGGATATTCATTTGATCAATAGAAAGTATATTTGGTTTCAATCTAATAGGGATAATTAATAGGGTTGGTGTGATCGTCGGGGATCAGTGTTTTTAGTGGACACTTCTTAGAGATATTTTAGATTATTGCTACATCATTCTTTGTTATGTTAATAAATTTTGGGGTTTAAAATTTTTTAGATTTAATAATCACTAGTTTGACCATTCTGGTTTGAGGGAGACAGTTCTATAAAATTAGTTTAATTATATCTCCTCGAGTTGGAAAACTTTTTTCTTAAAGGTATCCTAAAAGTGTGGAATAAGAAAGTGTTTGATCAACTCAGCCATCAAATAGATGCTTTGGAAGTTGAGGTTAGTACATGAGATTTGAAAGTTAAGAGTGATTTGCTTCAATCAGATAAGTTATGTAACACCCGCTAAACTCTACGGAATATTTCGTCATAGATCAGAGTAATTATAATATACATTTCAAAATAAGGATGTCACACATACTCCGTACATTATAAATCTCTATCATGCTCAAATAACACTAAATTAAATTTATGTTTTTCATATCACTTCACATAAACATGTCATAGTGATACTACGCCAAAAGTGATTTTTAACAGCGCATATTAGACAGTGCTTATATACAAAAGCACTACTATAAGTGAATTAAAAAAAAAATACGGAAACTATATAAAATAATTAGTAAAAGCGCTACTAAAAATATGACCTTAGACATCGCTTTTAAAAAGCGTTGTTAAAGTATTGCTTTAGAAAGCGCTTTCTCAAAAGCGCTGGTAAAGGACCACTTTAGACAGCGCTTTAAGAAAGCGCTGTCTAAAGTCATAAAAAATTTATAAAAAAAAATCAGAAAAGCGCTGCTAAAGGTCCATATTAGCCAGCGCTGTCTAAAGCCATATAAATGAAAATTAAAAAATAGAATCTGTGTATACTGTTTCTATTTCACAGATTCACGAACAGAAAGCGTAAGCCCTTTCCCTCCTTGAACAGAAAGCGTAATCCCTTTCACTCTGCTTGAACAGAAAGCGTAAATCCTTCGCCGTCGTACCAGCCCCCATTCGTCCTCCACAGTCTCTCTCGGTTGTCCTCCACCCACACCGGCCGGTTCTCAAGGTAGGTTCTTTCTTGAAAATGTATTTATCTCCATTGATGTCCAAACTGAGTTATCCTCATGTTGATAATATACTATGCTAACATCTAAGACATTATCCTCCTATTGATGTCCAAACTGAGTTATATGTATGCATTTTGATTTTTGGGTTCTTGGTAGGGCTTGATATATAACAACAACACTTTTAGCATTTAACATTATTGTATTTTCTTTTGGTTCTTTGTTTTGGAATAAAAAAGATGATATATATGATGGGTTTTTTTGTTATTTTAATTGGTTTTTGAATTGTTTATCATGTTTATATTCTCCATGAACTAGTATTTTGAACCTATATATACAACTTGTTTTTGATGATCCCTTTGTATTGGTGTAGTTAGTCGAAGAGCATCAACGATTCGAAGAACATCAAAGCCGCATCATCCGTCGTCGACACCAATAGCCCATTTTCTTTCTTTGGTAAGTCAAGTTCAAATTCTATCTGTATCGGTCAATTAAAAAACACAATTATTTTTATATAGATATATTTATTTTTAGTCCATGTTATTAACTCTAGAAATAAATTTCTAGAAATAATTCAAACAAAAAGAGAATAATTCGTTTATAGTGTTTTTGTTTACTTGAATTAGTAGAAAAAAATGGATGTTTGCCGATCGATTGTCACAAGAGTACGAGAATGGGGTATTGGAATTTGTTAAGTTTGTTTTTGAACACGTCAACGACCCCAGTCGAATGAAGTGTCCTTGCTTGGGTTGTTGTTATGTGGGTCGGGTTAACGCAGATGGATTGAAATCACATTTACTAATGCGTGGAATTGATAGAAGTTATACGTGTTGGATATTTCACGGTGAAAAAAGTAACGACAACGTTGAACCGGGGGAGAAAAGTAGTACGACCTATGCTTCAGACGACAAGGACATAGATACATACGATTTTGATCGAGTCTAAGAGATTGCAGATGCACTTGAAGAAGATCTTCAAGATTGTCCCAAAATGTTTGAGAGATTGGTAAGTGATGTAGAGAAATCGTTGTATAAAGGTTGCACTAAATTCACAAGACTGTCTGCGGTATTAAAGTTGTACAACTTAAAGGCATGCAATGGATGGTCAGATAAAAGTTTCACAGAGTTATTAGCCCTTTTGAGAGATATGCTTCCGGAGGATAATGTTCTTCCTAATCTAACCTTTGAGGCCAAAAAAATGTTGTGCTCTATTGGCATGAGCTATGATAAGATACATGCTTGTCCAAACGATTGTGTTTTGTTTCGAAACGAACATGCATCATTAAATGAGTGCCCTAAATGCGGTTTGTCTCGATATAAGAAAAAATTGTCTCCAGCAAAAGTCTTATGGTGTTTTCCTATAATTTCGAGATTTAGGCGCATGTTTCATAGTGAAACCGATGCAAGACACCTTACTTGGCATGCAGATGAAAGAATTATTGATGGAAAGTATCGACATCCGGCAGATTCACCATAGTGGTCGAAAATTGATAATGTTTATCCTGATTTTGGAGAAGAAGCAAGAAACCTTCGCTTGGCTTTATCTACTGATAGAATGAAACCGCATGGTCTTCAAAGTATCTCACATACCACATGGCCTGTTATTCTTATGATTTATAACCTACCTCCATGGCTATGTATGAAGCGTAAGTACATGATGTTATCTATGTTAATATCTGGGCCTAAACAATCAGGGAATGACATAGACGTATACTTGACACCTTTGATCGAAGATTTAAAGATTTTGTGGGAGAACGGGGCGGAGGTTTATGATGGATATAGGAAACAAAGTTTCAATTTGAGGGCGATGTTGTTTGGAACAATTAATGATTTTCCAGCATACAGGAATCTATCTGGGTATAGCATTAAAGGTCAACGTGCATGTCCTATTTGTGAAGATGGAACCAATACGACACATTTGGAACTTTGTCAAAAGAATGTGTTTCTCGGTCACCGTATATTCTTACATTCTAAACATCACTACCATGCGTGGAGAAAAGCATTCAATGGAGACACTGAACAACATAAAGCTCCACCTGCATTGTCAGGTGACCAAATTTTTGAAAAGGTGAAAGATGTGTGTACTCAGTTTGACAAGCCTTTTGCGCATACGGTTGTCAAAGGTGGGTGGAAGAAGAGATCGATTTTTTTTGAATTTACATATTGGAAGTCTCTGTATGTGAGACATTTTTTCGATGTTATGCATATTGAAAAAAATGTATTTGAAAGTGTTATTGGTACGTTACTCAATATTAAAGGAAAGTCTAAGGATGACCTTAAAGCAAGGGAGGACATGTTAAAGATGGGAATACGAACTGAATTAGGACCCGTGAAGAAAGGAAGTCGAACATATCTACCACCTGCTGCTTTTACTCTATCTAGAAAGGAGAAAAGATATTGTGTAAGTTTCTAAGTGAAGTTAAAGTTCCAGAAGCATACTCTTCAGATATTAGAAGACTTGTGTCTATGAAATACCTCAAGTTAAAGAGTTTAAAAACACATGATTTCCATGTTATAATGGAGCATTTTCTACCAATAGGTATACGTTCTATTTTGCTAGATAAATTAAGGAGCGCGATAACTAAGTTGTGGTTTTTCTTTAGGTCAATTTGTAGTAAGGTGATTGATCCTGAGATCTTACCAACATTGCAAAAAGAAATTATTATTACTTTGTGTGAGCTTGAAATGTATTTTCCTCCCTCATTTTTTGACATAATGGTACATCTAGTTGTTCATCTTGTGAAAGAGACACAGTTATGCGGCCCAACTTATATGAGATGGATGTACTCTGCTGAACGTTATATGAAAGTATTAAAAGGGTACATAGAGGGTTTAGAGCTTTCTTGTCAAACAAGTTTCTTA